TTTGGGGGGTTTAGGGTTTTTAGGGCCGTTGTTCATGGTTTTGTGGTTCTGGGCTTTGTTGGTCAGGATTCACTGGGGTGGGGCGGGGGGTGGGTGGGTGGGGTGGCTGCTCAGGGATTTCAACCATGAATTTCGCAGACATTTTTGTTTGGATTTTCGGTTTTGTTCTTAGTTGTGCTATTGTTGGCATACTATTGAAAGCCTTGTGTCGAAACCTTGATTTGCACCCTAAACACCGAACCCCATTTCCAATCCTCTTAGCTCAAGTTGTGTTGGAGCTGGGTTATGCTTTTCATGGGAGTCGTGGGTCCAGGGTTTCGGATCTCGGGGTTTTGGGTTTGGGGTTTAGGGGCTTAGGGATTTAAGGCTTAGGGTTAGGGTGTAGCCTGGGTCTGCTGAACACATGCCCACCCCAAGACCGCCCAAACGCTACTCACAGCGGGCACACCATCCAACCAGCCGAACCAAACGCGGCCAAGCCAAAGCCAAACCACGTCAAAGCGTTGATTTGTCGGAACTACATCCGTCCTTGTCCAGTTGGAGGAGGTCCCCAATCCTTGTCCAGGTACGTGTTCATGTGGAGGTCGCCTGAAGTCGTGAAGGATTGAGGGGCCCCAATCCTTGTCGAGTTGGAGACCGCCCCAAATCGCGAAATCTCGGAGTTCCCCAATCCTTCTCCAATCCGTGCGCAAGCAAAATCTAGGGTTTGCGTTGGGGGGTATGTTCGGGGCCGAAGGGCCCTGTCATTGTTGGGGGGGCCCCAGTCCTTGTCCCAGTTGGAGACCGCCCCAAGTCGTGAAGGATTGGGGTTCAAGGGGCCTCGCGCAGGCAATTTCGTCAGGTTCAGGGCTATGATTATATATAGATCTAGATACAATGGCTTGGCGACCAAACTTGGCGACCCCAAGGGCGTCGGTCGGCAGGCTCTGCAGCCTAGCAAAGCCTGCCAAGGTCGCACTGGCGCTCGACAGGGCCCACCTACCCACAGAAGAAGAGGGGTGGTGGGCGGGTTTAGGGTTTTAGGGTTTATAGGTCAGGGTTTTCTAGGGTTACTTCAGAGGCTTCAAGCCTGTGGGCGCTGTCCTCTTCTGGTACTTTGTTCGCTAGTGTTGCTAGTGCAGAAGGATGTGGTAAGTTCGGCGCTGCATACCTGTAAACGTCTAAGCCGTTCTAAGCCCGAACCGGATCCTTAACGTAAACTGCCCGAACCGGCTTTCGGCTTCGTGAGGTTCGTCTGTCTCATCGTCTGGGACATGGGGCTTCGGCACAACCCATCCCTGAACCTTCATCCCGCAGCCTGCCCGAAAGCTCTGACAGCACATGACAACGGTGCCAAACAGCTTGAAAATGTGTGGTCTCAGAACCTTCGGGTTTATGCGGTTCAGGGTTGATTTACAGGCTCTTGGCTTGTAGCTGCGTGATTTCAGGACGAATCTGCCCCCGCCGATGAGGAGGCGCAGAGCACTGCGGGTTCCCCAAAATCCCAAACTGGGCTTGGTGGTAAAATTCCTACCATCATCCAAAAGGCTAAACTTTTCCTGGGGTACTCAGCGCCTGATTACAAGAGTGTTGTGGTTTATCGCTTTAGAGTTTCAGGGCTCTCCCCACAGCTCCCAGGACCAATCACATACTTCACATCATATTCAATATACCTCCCTCGATAGTGTAAGGAAACCTCTTTTTGAAAAGGGGCAACACAAGCGCCTGAATAAAAAGAGTAAGGCTTTGGGGAAGTATTGTGTGATAACAAGGAGCCCAAATGAACAGTACTATAAAATCTGCCAAAATCCTAAAACCCGACACCGTAAGGAACCTCACAAAGGAACCTCAAAGAAAGCTTTACACGAACCTTGGCTTCGGCATTATTCAGATCTCTGAGGCTTTGAAGCTCGTGCCGAGGCGATGCGCGCCGCCAAGGCGAAACTGGCCGCAGCGATGCGGACTGCGACGTTGGGACGCCCGGAGTTTTTTTGTTTTAGGGTTTGGGATTTAGGGTTTGGGGTTTCGGTGTAGGGGTTTGGGGGTTTAGGGTTTAGGGCTTGGGGTTTCGGTGTAGGGTTTGGGTTTAGGGCTTAGGGTTTCGGTGTAGGGTTTGGGGGTTTAGGGTTTTGGGTCTTGGTTTGGGGCTGAGGGTTTTTGTTAGAAGGTCAAAGCCTGAAGCCAGTTCAGCAGAGTGAACTTTTTTGTGCGATGTAAGCTGTATTGCTTCTTCAGAGGGTTCAGGATTGAGGCTTTATAGGGTTAAAGTGTCGAAGGCCAGATTTCATCTAAACAGGCGTCGGCCCCCACGGCATCTAGGCAGTTCATAGCGCAGATGGTCCGGTTCGAGGGGGTTCTGAGAGCTCCGAGGTGGCAAGACGTGCTCGGTTCTTGTTTTAAGCTGAATCTGAAGCCTGTATAGCCTGTACTGTACCGTTTGAGTGTAGCCTCTGTTTCTCTGTGGCATAATATACACTGACGAGAAGAAATGTTCCACTACAGCCTGACAGGCCTATGCCTAGGCCTCTTTTCTTACAATTACAATCTGAATAGTTCTCTAATTAAAGTCCCTTTGTAGATCCCCAAAAGAGTCCGGCACCCTTATAAAAGGAACTCTAAACGGGATCTTCAGCTTGACAACTACCCATCTGTTTTCCACGTTCCGGATCCTTCTGCAAGGCACCAAAATCGTAGACGACCCATCCCCGGACCTCAAACCCCTAAGCCCATCATGGCAAGGGTACGATATGGCGGCTCATCCAATGAAGAAGGGAACTGAGGCGGTACCACAGAAAGATGCGACGTTAGGTCTTAGGGTTTAGGAGCTACCTTAACCCCAAATATCCTACCTTTTTACGGACTTAGATACAGAATTCATAATAAGGGGCCTTAAATAGAGTAGGTCTTTAGGGTCCAGGTAGGCAATGATCATACGTATGATGTCGGTAGATGCGGGACCCTCAAACTGAAGCCTTGTCAGTGTAAGCCCCGAAGCCTACGCCCTACGGGGTTTAGGGTTTAGGGTTTAGGGTCCTTTGAACCCTAAACTTGACTTAAACCGCGTCCTTCTGGCCAACATCGCGGAATCCTCTGACATCAGATAGAGCCATAGAAAACCCGTAAATAAGCCTCATATCTTGCTTTAGAAGCCTCATAGAACCCTTATACAGGCCTTCTAGAGTTGTAGAGACCTTAAAAATGCAAATGATAGACTTCCTTTTCTCCGTACAGATTGGCCGGAGTCTCCGCGCAGACTCTCCTAGAGGCCTTCACAGTGTTTTTCAGGGTTCCAGAAAAGTTTCTGTATGAGGGTGTTGCATGTTTTTTTTGTTTGAGGAGGGGGTGGGGGTGTTGCAGGGTTTACTGTGTACGGATTTAGGGTTTAGGGCAGCAGTCTTCAGGGGCTTGAAGTTGTGAGGGATTGGGGTGTTGAAATACTTCTCTAGGCTTTAGGGCTTTATACCTAAAACCCTAAGCCTAAACCCTAAACCCTAAACCCTAATATGGGGTTGAGGCAGTCGCCAGTGTTGGGAAAAGCAACTTGCCCCAGCGAGTCGCCCCCCGTTTGCTTGTTTCTGCTTATTCAGGAGGTTCGGGTTTACTGTTTAGGGTATTATGGTATTAAGTGCTTACTTAGGAGGTTGGGGTTTAGGGTTTAGGGTATTATGAAGAAGGCATTAGGGGGTTTATAGCAAACCTAGGTCAGACAAAGAGACAGAATGCGGCTGTAAAGTTGTTTTGCGGTGTTTGGTCGAGCAGTTGGTCTACGCCTTTTGGTATAAGGTTTAGGATTCAGGGTTTTGGGATAACGAGCACGAGTAATCTGGCCTATGGAGGGCTCGGGCTCGAGCTTGCTGATCTGGTTTAGGGTTTAGGGTTTAGGGTTTAGGGTTTAAGGGTTTAGGGTTTAGGGATCTAACTACAGGGTCTTATCTGCACTCAGTCAGGATGCTGTTGAGCCCATAAGCTCTAACAGAACAATCCTAAACCCGACTTGGCATGTTTGTTCCCTCGAAACCTCTACACCCTAAGCCCTCTGATAGGAATTACCTGGACCCTAAAGAACATACCTTCTTGGGGCTCCTTGGGATGATTTCCTTCTAAAAGCCCTTAAAAAAGCCTTCTTAGGGCTCCTTGGGAGGATTTCCTTCTATAAGCCCTTTCAAAAGGGCAGGTTTTTCAGGGCCCAGGCAGGTTTCGCATGTTCAGGGCTTGGCGTTGCGTCTTCGTAGAACCCTTCAGCCCCTTGCAAGGCGAGTGCTCCTCCGGAGGAAGAGGAGGACCAGGCTCTTGGAGGGTTTTTCACGGTTTAGGGCTCTTGGAGGGCTCCTCGAAGGTTTCCGGCCGGGGGGGGGGGGCGGGGCTAGGGTTTAGAATTCAGGTTTGGGGCCGGTGCATTTTAGAAACTTTCATGAGTTGCAGTGCGTGTTTTTTTTTGTGTGGTTTGCCATGAATCAGCTGTTTCTTTGCTTTTCTGTGCTATGAAAAAGAAACACCATTTCTTTTGTGTTTATGCCGACCAAATTGCACTGGCGTCGGCTAAGCAGACTTTGCTCAGATGCTCCGTTGAAACATTGTTTAGTTGTGTTTTTATCGAGAACATAAACGCAAACCGAATACAAAAAAAGCAGCTCGTCTATCCGTTCCGAGTATATGAGCCGGAAAAACAAAGGCGACAACCCTAAGCCCTAAACCCTAAACCCCTAAACCCCAAACCCCCCCAAACCCTACAGAACCTGCCCCTGAACCCTAGGCCCTCCTTGTAGTTTTTGCAGCACATATATATATATATATATATTTGTATGTATGTACATATGTATTTATGTCTAGAAGTTAAGCAAGTAAGTAAGTAAGCAAGCAAGTAAATAAGTAAGCAACTAAGTAAGTAAGGCAGGAACGAAGGAAGTAAGCAAGCAAGCAAGCCAGCACGCAAGTAAACATGTCAGTATGTATGTGTATATATATATATATAGTTATGCATATATGTCTGTGCATATACACATAGATACATGCACCCAGAGAGATCTATTTGTTTATCTGTTTATCTGTTGGTATATGTATGTGCATGTACATGTATATACATATATATATATATATATACGCACCTATATATATATATAGTCACATAGACAAACATATACATATACATATGTATCTACATTTACATACACATACATACATACATACATACATACATACACACATACATACATACCTACGCACTCTCTTTTTTACATGATTTGTGCTTGAAAGTGCTAGCTTAAGGTGGGCTTGGGTTTACGGCTGGGGGCCTGCACTGTAGCTTTCTATGTTGGGGGGGGTTCCTTCTTATGGTCATAGTATAATGTACCCCAAAACAGGCCCAAAACCCTATTATATCTACATATTAGGGCCCCTACATAGGCATTTAGGGTCTAATCGGGGTTAGCAGCAGGGTCCAGGCCCTTGAAACCAAGCCGACTCCGATGACGCCTCCCAAAGCCGGCAGAAGTCAGGAGCAACAGCCAGAGGGGCCGCAAATGACGGAGGCCGCTGCAGTGTGAGGAACTCCCTTCCCTCGTAGTCCCTTGCATGAACATGCTTCTATGTACTTCGAAACCCTATTCTCATCGTTTGGTTTATGGGTTTCTGGCAGCCCCCTGTTCTCGGCAGATGTGTTTATGTTTTCGGGTGACGCTGCGATGCTTGTAACTCCTCCAGGAGGTGCAATCAGCCGATCATGGCCCTAAACCCTAAACCCTAAACCCTAAACCCTAAACCCTGAACCATTTATTCACTCTGTGCCTGAAACAGGCGTTCCGGGGTAGCTGGACCGTTTCGGGTTGCGGGTCGGGCCTCCAGAGATCCTAAAAGCCTTGAAACCCTAAACTAACTCCTATAAACCTGAAACCCTAAACCAAATCCTGCAAACCTATACCCTGAACCCTAAACTAGATCCTAGAAACCAAAAACCCTAAACCCTAAACCTGAAACCCTCAAGCAAAATCTTCGAGGCTGCCAAGCTCGGCTGCTTTAGGTTCGGGAACCCCGTGAGTTGATCGTTTGAGGACCCCAAAACCGTAATTTTGGGGTTTAGGGTTTAGGGTTTAGGGTTTCAGGGTTTAGGGCTTAAGGGTTTAAGGGTTTAGGGTTTTAGGGATTAGGGTTTAGGGTTTAGGGGGGGGCCCACTTCCATAACGGTAGTATGTAGGGGTAGTTCTCTAAACTAGGGTCCCTTCTAGGGTCCTTTCGATAAGGGTGCCGTATTATTTTGGGGCCAACAAAGACGGGACCCGATATTTAGAGAACTGCCCACTACAGCATCCCAATGTGAAACCCTTAGCCCAGAACCCTAGACCCTGGACCCGAACCCTTAAAACCCTAAACCTTAAACCCTAAACCCTGAACCCTAAACCCTAAAACCCTAAAACCCTAAACCCTTAATTCAACTCTTAACCCTCATACGCCAGATCCCGGAGTCTAAGTCCCTGGAACCCTGCACCCTCCGAAACGAACCCATAAAAGAACCCCTCAATCAAAAAAGACCCCTTAAACTGGAGGAGCCTTGATAGGACTCCTAAAAAATGAAGGGTTCGGAGTTGCTTGGGAGCACGAGGGCGAGCTGAAGAACGGCAGCCGCGTCGAGATCTTTGGTGCGGAGCCCGAGCTCCCTAAACCCAAAGCCCTCCACAGGATTCAACCTCCTAGCTACAGTAAGGTTCTATGAGGGTAAAATAAGGCTTAGGATTTAGGTTTAGGGTTTAGGGTTTAGGGTTTAAGCATTAGGGCCAGTAGGATGTCCATGCACTCCTACAGTATGTGCTTTGGCTTTCAAGCAGTCCCAAAACAGCTACGTTAGGGCCGGAGAGAGGTTTCTTGCCCAGGCACATTGCAGGAGTGATCGCAAGGACGGGTGGGTGGATAGTCTGCAAGAACGGAACACCGTAATTCAGGCCCTAAACAATTCCCAATACTATTTGAGGGGGTTGATTATTATAATTGCAGTATACAATACCCCAATTACCAATACTATTTGAGGGGTTGATCATTATTATTCTAATTACAGTATACAATACCACCCAAGCCCCATTCTAATTATTAAAGCCCCTGTAGTACTTTCCAAGGGATCGCCTGGAAAGCTAGAAGCAGACCGGACGACCCCTTTGTAGGGTTTAGGGTTTGGGGCTTCTAGGGTTTATGCAAGACGTCCGCGGACCATCCCAGCAAGAAGACATCTAATCGTATTAGGGGAAACCCCAAAACGATACCCCTTGTCAAAGGGCGGCTTCTAGGAACAATAATATTGGAGCGGTCTCATTTAAGGTCGGACTACCGGGTTTGGGGTTTAATTATAGGGTTTAGGGCTTATAGGGTTTATATAGGGCTTATAGGGTTTGGGGCTTATAGGGTTTACAGGGCTTACATGGTTTAGGGTTCACCGGGTTTACAGGGTTTAGGGAAGGCGAGGACCGATGAGGAGGGTTTCGTGCCAACTGCCGTGATTGCCGCAGTATGACGGCCCAGCCATATTCGATCCAAGAGTTTCTTAAGGAACGACATTAGGGTTTAGGCTTAAGGCTTTAGGCTTTATAACCCTAAATCCTAAACCCTAAATCCTAGACCCTAAACCCTAAATCCTAAACCCTAAACCCAGGCTTTATTTAGGGTTTAGGCTTTAGGGTTTAGGGTCCACTATGATACCAGAGCCCCGAGCCGGGTTCCCCTTCACACACCAGAGGTTTCTATGGCAGAGATATTATAGAAGCCTAAATAAGCGCCTATACTATTTTTTTTGGGGGGGTCCTTACTATAATAATGCTATAAAGGAGCCCCTTGTTATAATAACATTATAAAGGAGCCCCAAACCCAGTTCTAATTTTTTTAGGCCCCTACATTAGCAGAGGGGGCACAAGGCAATGACATGTGGAACAGGCTGCAGGGCTGGGGCTTTCCCTGCGGAAGTCTACAGTTCACCTTGAAGGTTTAGGGTTTAGGGTTTAGGGTTCAGGCTACGCTATTTTTCTTTGCTTCTAAACCTAAACCCTAAACCCTAAACCCTAAACCGTGTTGATTTGCAGCCTCAGGGTGTAGGACGTACGGCTTCTTTCGTGCTTTTAGACTTGTTGCGTAGGCCGTGTAGGGTTTACAGCTCATGTCCCGACCTAAACCGACAAATCCCCAAAACCCTGGAGTTCCGAAGACCTCAAGCCCAAAGGTGGCAAGAGCCTCAAGCCTTTTGGGTTTAGGGTTACAGGGTTTAGGGTTACAGGTTAAGTCCTGAAGCCCATCAATCCCTACATCCTCAACCCTAAACCCTAAACCCAGAAAGTTATTTCAGGGAGCCCAAGATTTGGCAATGGCCCCTAAAAGAAAGCCGTCGAAGAGACAAACTTCGACTTCAACACTTCCGTTCCAAGCAGCAGTACATGCAGCTCCGCCGAAGAGACAATCTTCGACATCAACAACGCGGTTCCAAGCAGCATTAAATGCAGCTGAACCGAAGGAGCTTGACCTAAACCCTAAACCCTAAACCCAAAGCCCTAAACCCTAAACCATAGATAACACCGCCAAAGCCGGACCGAGCCCTGAAGCCCGGGAAGAATCGAGACCGACCAAACCCATGAAACCCCATAACATTCGATCAGCCCTTAAACCCTTAAACCCTTAAACCCTAAACCATTAAACCCTAAACCCTAAACCATGAAACCCTGAACCATTAAACCCTAAACTATAAACCCTAAACCCCAAACCCCTGAACCCTAAACCCTAAACCATTACCACCCTAAACCATTGAACCCTTAAAGCCTAAACCCTAAACCCTAAACCCTCAAAGCCTAAACCCTAAACAGCCCCAAACCTCGTTGGGGTTTGCCTTTGCTCCGACTTTGCCGAGGCTTAGAGTCTGAGAGCGGTAAAGCCCTCAACGGCCAGGCCGTGCCGGACGTCGGGGTTCTATCAAGATTAGGGTTTTAGGGTTTAGGGGTTTTGGGGGTTGGGGTTTAGGGGTTTAGGGTTTGGGGTTTAGGGGTTTAGGGTTTGGGGTTTAGTGTTTAGGGTTTGGAGTTTAGGGTTCGGGGTTTAGGGTTTGTGGGTTTAGGGTTCGCGGTTTAGGTGTTGGAATGCTGTGTCTACACTATGAAACGCACCGTTTAGTTTTCTGATGTCCAACCTATATGCTCTTGCACTTGCCGTTGCTGTTGCTGCTCCTGCTGCTGGTATCTCCGCAGGTCGGGCACATTGCTGGCTTTTTGGAGGAGAAGGGCCGGTACCAGGTGGTCACTGCCAATTTAGAAGGCTTGTTTGGGCTTTTCGGTTCAAGGTCCGCCCCGGACCCTGTAAGAAATTTGTGCCAGGGTGTCGCTTCTAATTTCCTAGGCTCTACCTAGCCCAAACCCTAAACCCCAAACCCGAGACAGCATCCAAGCCTTCGCGAGGTTGGTGGGAATGTGGCTTGACTGTGGGCTTTACAGCTGTCTATCTTTGTTGGAGCAGCTGTTGCAGGGGATTCCAGGCTCTAAGCCCGTTCATGGTACACCCTCCAACTTCACCAACCCCCAAACCCTAGAGCCTAAACCCTAAACCTCCAAACCCTAAACCCTAAACCCTAGAGCCTAAATCCTTAACCTCCAAACCCTAAACCCTAAACCGTAAACCGTCCTACCTCCAAGCAGTAAGCCTTCGAGCCTATGCCCTGGAGCCTGAAACCTTAAAAGGCAGAGCTCCAGCCTCGGGGTTCTTTGAAGCATGCTGGGCTCCCTGGGAAGTAGAGCTCAGACCCCCGACAGGGCACCGAACGTTCCCAACCATAATATAGCGGCCCTGATAATTGCCTATACCATTGGAGGCCCCTCATTCTAGTCATAGTATAAGTAGGAAGGGTGATAACTGTGCCTTCGGGGGGGCGGGGGGAGGGGGGGGCGGGACGCGGGGGGGGGGGGGGGGGGG